CATTTATAATCACACATGTTGCACCCTCCTTTGTTTTCCATTCCATTCCTTCCAATTCCACCCCCGCACCGACTTCACAGCCTAAGTTGAAAAGTTCGTTGCAATGGGTCGACCTGTATCCCTGTTTAAACGGTTTGTTTTTCCCTTCCTATCCACAAAGTATATTAACAAAGAATTGTTTCTTTGGAAAAACTAATAGCATTGACAGTCCCTTAGCAAATCTTACCAGAAGAGAACACACCCAAATAAATAAACTCAGGGATGAGAATAGAAACATCATCAAAGAAACATCCAAGATTCAAATACAATGAAAACAGAGGTTATACCGTGGGGGATGGACATGCAAAGCAACAAAGAAATCATCTTATAAATACGTTAGAAACAATTGCAAGAAAGAAAAAACATTTGAATACTAATCTTCCGGTACATTTCACCTAACATCAACTTATCTGAATGTTGTTGCTTGTCTGCGACATATAATAGTTATTGCACATAAGGGAAACCATGGGACTTATGTTTCTTTGGGCCTGGCATACATAACTTAATATAATTTTTCCAAGTCTCTCCATTTCCTAACAAATAGGGCAATGTCATTCTTTCTGATGGAGGCATAGAATTCCATTGTGTATATATACCACATTTTCTTGTTCCATTCATCTACTGAGGGGCATCTGGTTTTGTTGGTTCCATATCTTAGCTATAGAAAATAATGCTGCAATGAACATAGTTGTGCTGGTAGCTTTATTATAGTCTTGTTTGTAATCATTTGTGTAAATGTCCAAAAGTGGGATTGCTGTATCATAGGGGATCTCCATATGGGGTTTTTAGACGAACCTCCATACTATTTTGCGAAGTGGTTGAATAACATTCCCATCAACAATAGCAGTAAGGTTCACTGCGCTCCACATCATCTGTAGCATCTGCAGTTATTAGAGTTCTTGATTATAGCCATTGTAAGTGGGGTGAGGTGTAATCTCAATGTTGTTTTGATTTGCATTTCTTTTCTGGGTAGGGAGGTTGAACATTTCTTTATGTGTCCATTGGCCATCCTTTTTTCGTCTTCTGAGAAGTTTCTCTTTAAATCTTTAGCACACTTATTTTTGGGCAGTTGTTTCTTTGAGGATTTGTTGTTGGGCGATGTAATTTTTTGAGTTCCAAGTATATTGTAGATATGAGACCCTTGTCTGTTTTTTGGCTAGTGAAGATCTTCTCCCAATCCGTAGACTTTCTATTGATTTTGCTAGCTATGTCCTTTGCCATGCAGAAACTCTGCAACTTCATGCAATCCCATTTGTGCAACCTTTCTTGATTTGTTTTGTTTCCAGGTCTCTATTAAGAAAATTACAATCTGCGCCAAGGAGACCTAGGATTTCTCCTATAACATCCTGTAATGTTTTCAGAGTGTCTGCTTTGACTCCGAGGTCTTTGATTCATTTGGAATTGATTCTGGTGCAGGGTGATATATAAGGATCTAGCTTTAGTTTTCTACAAGTAGTTAACCAATTTTGCCAGCACCATTTACTGAAGAGGCTGTCTTTCTTCCATTATATTTCTTTAGCTCCTTATCAAAGATTAGATGTCTATAGGTCTGTCGGTGCATTTCTGGGTTTTCAATTCTCTTCCATTCGTTCTGAGGTCTGTTCTTATGCCAATACCAAGCTGTTTTGATTACTATGGCTTTATAGTAGAGTTTGAAATTTGGTATTGATATTCCTCCAGCAGTGTTCTTTCCATTGAGGAGCATTTTTGCTATTTGGGGACTTTTATTGTTCCATATAAATTTTTGGATTGCCTCTTCTATTTCCTTGAAGAATGAGGTTGGAATTTTGATAGGTATCTCATTGAGTTTGTAGATAGCCTTGGGAAGTATTGCCGTTTTCACGATGTTAACCTTTACAATCCAGGAGCATGGGAGTTTTTGCCATTTTCTAAGTTCTGTTTTGATTTCCTTTTTCAAGATTTAAAGTTTTCATCATAGAGGTCCTTCACTTCTTTTGTTAATTCCTAGGTATTTTATTTTTTGTGGGGCTATTACAAATGGAGTTGCTTTCCTAATTTTAGCCACACTTTTCTCATTGTTAGCATACAGAAAAGCCATCGATTGGGGGGGGGGGGCGGGTAATTTTATACCCTGCTATTTTGCCAAAGTTTTGAATCAACTCGAGTAATTTGGGAGTGGAGTCTACGGGGTTCTTTAAATACAAGATCATGTAATCTGCAAAGAGAGAGAGTTTTATTTCTTCTTTCCCTATTTGGATCCTCTTTATGTTTGTATCTTGTCTTATTTCTGTAGCTAGTCATTCTAATACTAGATCAAAGAGAAATGGAGATAGTGGACATCCTTGTCTTGTTCCTGAGTTAAGAGGAAATAGCTTTAGTTTTTCACCATTAATTATAATGCTGGCTCTAGGTGCTGGAGAGGTGGTGGACAGAAGGGATCCTTACTTCATTGTTGGTGTGAGTGTAAACTTGTTCAACCACTGGAAAGCAGTATGGACTTTCCTCAAAAGACTTTACATAGAGCTCCCTTCTGACCCAGCAATCCCAATTTTGGGCATTTACCCAAATGTTTACAAAGAAGACCACACTAAAGCTATCAACACAATTATGTTTATTGCAGCATTATTTACCATAGCTAAGATATGGAACCAAACCAGATGCCCCTCAGTAGATGAATGGATCAAGAAAATGTGGTATATAAATGCAATGGAATTCTATGCCTCAGGCAGAAAGAATGACATTGCCCCATTTGTTAGGGAATAGAAAGGCTTGTAAAAATTTATATTAAGTGAAGTAAGCCAAGGCCGAAGAAACATAGGTTCCATGGTTTTCCTTATTTGCAATATCTAGTATATGTATGAGTCAAGCAGAAATGGACAGATAATGTGATGTTAGGGAAATGAACCCTTAGATATGTATTTAAATGTTTTTTTTTTCCTTTTGTGCATTTGTTTGTAACACATTTATAAGATTCTTTGTTGGTTTGTATGTTCCTACCCCACAGTATAACCCCTGCTTTCACTATATTTGATGTCGGTATAATTTGTGGAGGAGATGGGAAAAAAACAAGTCATTTAAGGATACAGGTGGACCCGTTGTGTCAATGAGAAGTACAAGTTGTTATGTTGAAAACGAACTTTACAACTTTGGTGCAGGGTCTGGGGGGGGGGGGGTGATTGGGTGGGAGGTGAGGGGAGGCTGGGAAGGGATGTGAAGGGTAAACAAAGGAGGTGGCTGAAATGCTTGATAAGAAATGTACTCATTATCTTGCCAATGTAATTGTAACCCCTCTGTAAAGTATGTTCACAAAAAATAAATTAAAAAAAAAAAGAAAATTTCAGTCTGTGTTAAGGAGACCTAGGGTTTCTCCTATTCCATTCTGTAATATTTTCAGAGTGTCTGATTTGACTCCTCTGTAAAGTATGTTCACAAAAAATAAATTAAAAAAAAAGAAAATTCTGTCTGTGTTAAGGAGACCTAGGGTTTCTCCTATTCCATTCTGTAATATTTTCAGAGTGTCTGATTTGACTCCGAGGTCTTTGATCTATTTGGAGCTGATTCTGGTGCATTGTGATAGATAAGGATCTATCATTTCTACAAATGATTAACCAATTTTGCCAGCACCATAATGAAGAGGCTATTTTTTAAGCACCCTTATTGAAGATTAGGTGGTTATAGGCCTGTGGGTTCCTTTCTGGGTTTTCAATTATATTCCATTGAACCTGAGGTCTGTTCTTGTGCCAGCACCAAGCTGTTTTGATTACTATGGCTTTGTAGTAGAGTTTCAAATTTGGTATTGATATTCCTCCACCACTGTTCATTCTGTTAAGAATTGTTTTTGCTATTCATGGTCTTTCATTGTTCCATATGAATTTTTGGATTGCTTTTCCTATTTCCTTTTTCTATTTCTCAAACTTATTAGCATAAAGTTTTGAGTAGAACCTACAGACCATAAAAAGAAATGCAAATCAAAACAATCTTGAGATACCACCTCACCCCAGCTATAATGAAGAATTCTAATAACAACAGATGCTGGAGGGGATGTGGAGAGAAGGGAACCTTACTGCACTGTTGGTGGGAATATAAACTTGTTTAATCTGTATGGAAAGTATTATGGGAGTTCCTCAAAAGACTCCACATAGAGCTCCCCTATGACCCAGCAATCTCAATTGTGGGGATTTACCCAAGTGTTCACAAACAAAATCACACTAAAGTTACCAGCACGACTATGTTTATTGAAGCCTTCTTTACCACAGCTAAGATATGCAAGCATCCTAGATGCTCCTCATTATATGAATGGATCAAGAAAATGTGGTATATATACACAATGGAATGCTATGCCTCCATCAGAAAGAATGGCATTACCCCATTTGTTAGGAAATGGAAAGACTTAGAAAAAATTATATTAAGTGAAGTAAGCTAGGCCCAAAGAAAGTAGGTCCCATGGTTTCCTTTATTTGCAATAACTAGTATATGTCTGAGCCAAGCAGAAAATTTCTGTTAAGTTGATGTTACGGAAATGATCCCTAAGATTTGTATTCAAATGTTTTTTTTTTTTTTCTTTCATGAGATTGTTTCTAACACATTTATAATGTTGGGAGCCGACATTAAAACTCCAAGTTCATCTTGACCCTTGTGCTCAGTTGAAGTCACGTACAAGGAACTGGCTTTCATGACTAACACCAGGTGTCTGGGTTTGCCTTGCTATGTCTGTAGAATTTGTTTTACTTTCTATCAGTTGACCTTGTCTTGTTTCTTTCTGCACCCTTGTTTTTATTAAAATTTTCCTTGCTTTTCTGCATTATGGTGACCTTAGGTTACCTCTTGACTTCTAACAGTATAAATAAGGAGAGTTAAAAATAAATGGGGTTGCAGTCTTGAGCTGCAGACCTCCCGACCCCATCCTTTGTCTATTGTCTTTATTTTTCCATCCTTGCCCCCTAAATCAGGAGTCCCTTTCGTTGCTGGCTGGTTCCAGCAAGTGGCGCCCGAACAGGGACCCTGAAAACCTGGGATCAAGGCAGAGGACCCCGATAAAGTAAGAGGATGCATACAGAAAAAGAGCGGGTGATAGTATAGTCGGGAGTAAGAAATTATGGGGCAAGGAAACAGCCGCACGTTATACGTGCAGGCTCTCAAGGGTATGCTTCACACTCAAAGAGTGAAATTTAGACAGAGTCAGTTAGAATGTTTCTTTCACTTTGTTGAGGAAGTATACCCCTGGTTCCCGGAGGAAGGAACCATTAGTTTTAAAACTTAAAAAAAAAAATTGGAAAATAGGTTTCAGGGACACCATGATGCAAATGGCCTGTAAGTTAAAACATTGCTTCTTTGTCATTGTCTGGTATCTGTGTAGCCTGCAGGTTCTGTATTGGGTTGGCAAGAGTCTTGGCGGACGTGCTATAAGACAGCCAACAGGGCCGGTGGGAAAAGTCCCCCGGATCCCCATCAGGGTAAACTATCCACTAGTGCGGACATTTGGGCCCCTCTGTAGACTGGTACCTTATGTCTGACAGCCTACAACGCGCATGCTGTAAATGTGTTTTTTCTCAATGTTTGTGTATGTATTTTGGAATTCTTGGAATATTTCTTCTCTCACATTCATCCTGATGCGAGAGCCCGGAGGAAACTGGCTAACACCCCCCCAATATCTGTTTCTCTCTAGCTCCTTCTTTTTTACTTGCACTTTAAACTGACCCTTTTTCTACCCTTCACTGCCACCTCCTCCACCCTCTCTGTATCCAGAAGTAGGGGAGTGATGGGTGGTGAAAAACCTGGAGGATCTAACAATAACTTAAAAGTGCCGGCAGGGAGAACTCGCAGCCAGATAAAACTTCCACTGACCACCTGCAAGTGACACCAGCAAGATCTTAGCCTCAGGCCTTGGCCCAGGGGGTCTGAGTATGGGGGAGAACCTGTCAGTCTGAGGGGACGGCCGCTAGGGACTTCTTTCCTTTGCCCCAAGATGACTGGGAATTCTCCTCCACTTTGGAAGGTCCCTGGGTCAACGTTTGCAGGTATCTAAAAGAAAAATCCTCCAGAGGTGAGTAAAGGGGGTTCGAGTCCCCTGGTAAGTGGGTTTGAGTCTCACTTGTGAATGGTGGTGAGATGTTGCCCCACTCACTGAGACCTGATTTTGTCTTCGTGGCCACTTGTCTGTCTTGTTTACTTCAGTGTGTTTTCTGAGATAGGGATAAACTGGGTCCCATTAGGCCCCAACTCAGCCTTTTGTTGTTGTCTTGTCTAGTTCTGTTTTAGAATTGGTACCAGTTTTAAATGTATGTACAACTGATTTTGATTTTTGCACACTTTAAGATCTGTGTGTGTTTTGTACGTGTTTGTGAACATGTTCAAGATAAAAATTATCAGCATGCTGTAACAATTGGGTGAGTTTAAGTTTAAAATTCAAAAGGTTATGAGGTTTGGACATTACCAAAAATTTTAAAGAATTTTCACATTGTCTTAAATGACTTTTTAAGGATTCTTTAACTTTAAAAAAATCCAGTATTTTAAAATGCATAACGCTGTTTTCACTGTACTCAAGCTATCTGGCTTAACAAAAATGCATTGGCTGTTTAAAATTTAGTTCCCTTGGCTAAAATTTGGGGATAAATATTGAAAGTTTAAATACAAAAGTTTGTTTAACACTGTCAAAGACATTACCTGTTCTGTCTGTCTAAAACTGTGTATTTTCATTCAAAAACCAAGAGATAAGAAAAGGAAAAAACTTAAAAGCCAACAAAAGACTTATCTTTAGGGGTAAGGGGTAAACAGGTAAAAGTGCAGTTCAGCTGGTCATACACGGTGGGACGGGCCATGGGAGGAGTCCACGCACGGTGAAAGGACAAGCTAGCACAAATGCAGTTCATCTAACCCTGAAGAGTGAGATTAAGTGCGTGCCCATTCCACAGGAGGGGGCAATTGACCCAGCTTTGTTCTATCCTTTTTCTCTACAGATAAATACTAGAAAAATGATGGTAAAAATTAGTGATGTGATGATTGATTAGTATTGCTAAAACTGCACCTTGGACTTAAAAGAGGGTTAAAAAATATTTTTGTATAATGTGACTTGCTTTCTATGATGTTTTATAATTGGGATATGTTTTTAAAAGTCATAAATGTGTTTGGTGATTGTAATTCTTGCGTTAAGAAAAAATTTGAGTTTAAAAGTTTTAATGTGTATCTGTTTTAAAACAAGCAGCCAAGAGCCATGAGTGACACTTAGCCTCAAGATTTTAAGTGATTTTTTTTAATGTAACTAAAAACTAAAATATAAAATAATAAAAGAGATTAATAGGAGGCTTAAAAATAGGAATGGATTTTTGGATATAAAGTTTAAAAGTAAAATTGTTCTTAACATTTGCCTCAAAGTGAAAAAATTAGGATTACCAAAATAATTGCTTAATTGCTATTCCAGTTTGATCTTATAGTTTTTTTAAGTTTCAAGCAAGCCAAGAGCAAAGCACAGAGGATTCTTTTAAGTTTGTCAGATGTAACTTTGGCTCTTAACAAGTTTCAGGTGAGAGCATGCTTAAAAGCTACTTCTATGTTGACCACCTTGTTGCTTTTACTTGGAGTAAAGTGGCCTTTTATAAGACTCATTGATCTGCAAACTGGTTCAAAGCCAGCCCGGGCAGAAAAAGGTCCCTGTGAGACTGTCACGTCTACTCAGCCAGCAGAGTGCTAAAAGATCAAGCAGAGTTGCTTTGGGACTCATAGTGGCAGAGTGCTAGCCTTGAGTTGTAGAGCTGAGGGACAGCACTCAGGCCCCAAGTTCAATTCCAGAGACCAGCTAAGGGAAATGCAAATGAGGCATTTATCTCAGTGTAGAGAAAACACTCCTGGGACAAGCGCAATGGAGGAGCATCCAGAGTCAGTAAGCCACTGCTTGGATGGCAAAAATGTCAGATCCTAGAGTGATTTGTGCATGGCCCTTCAAAAATTGGTCAGAGCCAGGAGGTCATGGAAAGATAGTTTGTAAGCATGCCTAATATCCATGACTATCTACCTTGTAGGGACAGAAACTTGTCAGTAATCTGTGATAGTACTAAAAAAGCTAAAGTTATAAAATGTGGGGGATAGTTTAAATCCCAACCCTTGTATATGCCAAAAGCCCTAATTGACAGTAACTTTTGAGCTAACACCAGCTACATAAAATTTATCTGATCAAGAAAAAAGTTTGTAAACCTGAGAGTATGTTTCTATTAACATCTGTCTAAAGGCAAGCACAGGTGACTTAGCATTGTTAGAGTCACTAGAGGTCACATTCCTAAAGATGCTTTTACAAACCAGAGTGTGAAACAAGCTACACTGCTGTAGCCGGAGAAAAAGTCTGTGCATTTGTCAAAAGTTAAAATATTGTTCTTAATGACATCTAACCCTGGTAACCTCTTTGTAAAATAGACTAAGGTTATAGGTTCCTGGCTAGGTAGGACAACACCCCTGAGTCAGCTTGAAGAAGTTACAGAAGATGAATCTTCGCCCATCATCCCCTTTTTAGAACAAGGGACCAGAGTCATAAAAAAACAGGGTGACAAAATACACACACACACACACACACACACACACACACACACACACACAAAAGAAAAAGACATGGAAAATAGTAGTATAGGCCGGAGCCCTCTATATCTGCCTAGAAAATCAGCCTTATTAAAAAAATTATCTAGTTAAAAAAGTTGTCATCTTGGTAAATTGTCCTGGGCTATTGTCTAAATAGTCTTAAAAACTAGTGGGGTCACAACCTGCTAAGCCTATATATTACTTGTATCCTTAACCAGACTGTATAGAAATTTACAGCCCAGCACGAGGTGTGACAGTCCCTTGGAGCCACTGAGAGACCCTGCTGCTGCTGCTGCTACAGCCTGACAGTCACCTGGAGAAAATCTACATCGTTACCCTGACCACCTCCACCGTGGAAAAAGTAGACTAAACTCCTGCCTGATTCCATCTTTTGGATGCTTTGCTTTGTCCATGTTACCATATGCCTACTCTAATTTTATTATGGCTACTCCTGTGGCCGGGGAGACTAACAAACATTGTATTGCCCATTCCCTACACTGCTTTGCCACTATGGGACTTCCTAAACATAGTAAAACTAATAATGGTCTGGGATATGTCCGACAAGCTTTTCAAAATTTTTGTAAATCTTATCAGATTATTCACACTACAGGTATTCCCTATAATCCTCAAGATCAAGGAATTGTTGAACGAGCTATTGGTTTGCTCAAACATCAAATTTTTAAATTAAAAGGTGGGGAATTATACCCCATCTCTCCTGTTAATATTCTTTCTCATGCTTTGTTTGTACTAAATTTTTTAAACTTAGATTGTAATGGCCTTTCCGCAGCATAGCGTTTTGGGAATAAAAAGAGAGCAAAGAGCTTTTGCTCAAGTAAAGTGGAAGGATCCTTTAACAGGTGCTTGGCATGGGCCCGTTCCGGTTTTAACATGGGGTCGAGGATATGTTTGTGTTTCCTCCCAGGAAGAAAATGATGCCCGCTGGTTGCCTGAACGCTGCGTTAGGATTGTGGAGACTCATTCAGATGACACAAATGCTGACACATTGGGCTTACGTGCCAGATCCCCTGATTGTGCACCCTACAACTTGGGAGGGAGTTGAAGTAATCATTCACGTGAATAGATCAGCATTCAATACAGCCCCGATCCCTTCATCCAGCACACCAAGATGAGAGATATCTCAGCTTCAGATATTGGAACTCCTTTTTGCTTTACCACCAGCTCTAAAGCCTTCATTCCAGGCTGTATTATAATGCTATCCATGACTAATAAAATTTGTTTTCCAGACAAAAATCAAATGTACAATATACAGATGACATCTTTGCCAACTGGGCACTTAGTTTATGCAAATTCTACTCCATCCTTTAGGATACCCTGTTGCATTAATTCTTCACAAGTGGTAGAATCTACAGGAGAGCCTCATCCAATAAGGTGCAAGCATGTGCAGCCATTTCTTACCAATATTTCTGGAACTAATTCTCAATTAATGGACTGGGCTGGAGTTAATCTTACTAATAAGTACAATCTTGGACTGTGGTGGATGAATGGGCATCCTCAACATCATGCTTGGATGCTGGTAGCTGCACTCAACAATATAACCTGGCCCTATTCATCCCATTTAAAAAATATTATGAGTTGTGTATCAGCAACCCATGTTATTAAGTATGGACCATTTAATATTTCTGTAAGAGCTAATTATTTTAATGTTACCTGTTCTAATTGTTCTTTTATTAATTGCTTATAAAGCAGCATAACTGAATCCATACTTATTGTTAGACAATCATCTTTTGTTATGCTTCCTGTAAATATTTCTGAAACTTGGTATAAAGATTTTGGTATTCAGGTGTTACAACAATTGAAAGAACTAATGCGCCCTCTTCAATTTGTTGGGCTACTTGTAACTGATGTTTTGGCCTTTATTTCGTTAGCTGCCTCTGCAGCGGCAGCTGCTGTGGCACTAACACAAAACGTTGAAACTGCCCATTATCTTAATCAGCTTGCTCATAATACAACACAAGCTGTACCTCTGGACCCTAAATTGGCAAAAACTGTTAAAAATCTGTTTAAACAATTTCAATGCTATATCACTTCCCTGACTTATGTTAAAGGATTGCTAATGACATTGCTTGGCCTGGGAATGCTTTTGTTGATGGTTTTCTATGCCTTCCTTGTATTATACGTGCACTGCAAAACTCTCTTATGAGTTTAGCCAGCCAGGTACATAAGATCAAGCTCCAAATAAATGAATTCCCCCCGAGAGGAACTGCAGCCAGAGACGGGTAAGAGGGGGTGCCAGTCTGACCAACCTAAGACAGGGCCTTCAGCTTTGCTCTGAAGAAGTTCCCAAAGACGAGTAAGGCAGACAAGGTGATCCTCCCAACCTAAGACAGGCGGGTTCACTTCTTCAAAAAAGAGACGGGGGAGATTTGGGAGCCGACAGTAAAACTCCAAGGTCATCTTGACCCTTGTGCTCATTTGAAGGCACGTACAAGGAACTGGCTTTCATGACTAACACCAGGTGTCTGGGTTTGCCTTGCTATGTCTGTAGAATTTGTTTTACTTTCTATCAGTTGACCTTGTCTTGTTTCTTTCTGCACCCTTGTTTTTATTAAAATTTTCCTTGCTTTTCTGCACTATGGTGACCTTTGGTTACATCTTGACTTCTAATAGTATAAATAAGGAGAGTTAAAAATAAACAGGGTTGCAGTCTTGAACTGCAGACCTCCTGACCCCATCCTTTGTCTTATGTCTTTATTTTTCCATCCTCGCCCCCTAAATCAGGAGTCCCTTTCGTTGTCGGCTGGTACCGGCATATAAGATTATTTCTTTGTTGTTTTTTATATCCCTCCCCCATGGTATAACCCCTGCTTTCACTGTTTTTGATTTTGGTATAATTAGTGGAGGGGAATGGAAAAAACAAATCGTTTAAATAGGGATACAGGTGGACCCATAGCAACAATGAGATATACAAATTTTTATGTCAAAAATGAACTTTACAACTTTGGAGAGAGGGGAGAAAAGTTGGGTGAGGGGGAGAATTGGATGGGAAGAGGAAACAAAGGAGCAGGCTACAATGCTTGAAAAGAAATGTACTCAGGTGCTGGGAAGGTGGCTCAGTGGTAGAGTGATTGCGTTGCAGCCTGAGGCCCTGAATTCCATTCCTCAGCACCACATAAACAAAAAAGAAAAAGAAGGAAGTGGCACTGTGGCTAACGTGGCAGAGCGCTAGCCTTGAGCTGAAGAGCTGAGGGACAGCGCCCAAGCCCAAAGTTCAGGTCCACCACCCGACCCACTTCCCCACCCTGCAAAAAAAGAAAAAAAAAGAAATGTACTCATTATCTTGCCCATGTAATTGTAACCCTTTGTACAGTATTTTTACAATAAAAAATAAAAAAATTAGGTAAAACTGGTCACTTCTTTTGACAGGAATTTAGTTATGATTTCTTGTAAAGTTGATTTTATTCAACAGAGTGTTAATTGTCATATAGAAACTGAAAATTTTAGTCACATGTCTAGATGATTGACTATATTGTATCTAAACAGTCTTTACTTTGGATTCTCATTTTGTCGAGAAGATTACATTTGTCATCCTATGAAATTTATTTTTAGCATTTCCTTCATTCAGTGGTAAATTGGGATCTAATAAATTTGACATACATTGCTTTGGGTTTTTCTGACAGATTGAAATGAAATCTATACCATGCACACTATAATAATGATAGTTTAAATATTTAGTGCCTAAAGAGAAATGATCAAATTTATGTTTCATGAACATTGTTTTACAGAAAAGAAATCCAGTTCTCTAAGGAGTGCAGTAGCATGTATAAGATCAAACATTTAACTAAAGACAAATCTTTGAAATCTCTTGTGACTTGACTGCTTTAGAATTCTACCATGCCTGCATGAATGTGTATGTGCTTATATTTTCTTTGTCAATGTGATAATAGAACTTACAATTTCCTTTTGAACATAAATATCCAAACCATTAACTTTAAGCTTTTCAAGAATTGTAAACAGTGAAGTTTCTCCATGGATTGTACATAAAATTAAAAATAGGTCTTTAATTTCTCTTGGTTTTACCTCATTATTGATTAAATTGAAATAATTTTTGAAGAATTATATGATGTATGCTAATATGGATAGCACATTTGGGGAACACATTCACTGATGTTAGAAGACATTACATAGAGTTTAACATGCACAACAAATGCACATGGCTTTTTTTGTGCACTTACCAAGCACCCATCAATAGACTTGAACTTAGAACAAAATATTAAGGTATTGGGTACTAAAATAACTTTCCAGTTCATTATTTTTCTGTGTATAATGATAACACATTATATTATTTTCCCTTATTCAGAAAAATAGTTGAGACTAGAATATGATAGTTGCCAAAAGTGTTGAGAAAGGTACAGTGGTAAGTACTTAAATGTAACATGGTTCAATCATTAAAAATTATAAATAAGAATTCACCAGGAAAATCATATTAGTGTTAGGAAACAATTGTAGAGGATAATACATAATCTAGCAAGTAGATTTCATGAGGACATATGAAAGGTAATAGCTTGAATAAAACCCTAAACATTTTACATTCAGAATATAGTCAGAATTAATATGTATTTATCATCAAAGCATTTGACCTGCACAAAAAAGCAAATAATGTCAAAGCCTTCCATAGATAGGCATTCTTGTATCCAATGTACAGCAAAATTAAACTACTTGCCCAGTATTACCATAGGTAACAAGAAAGTGAAGAACCTGTGAAAAAGTTCTGGAAGATAATAAAGATTACTAACCAGATTTAATTAATAATTCTAGGCAAATGTAGTGTATGTGTGTGTGTCCACACACATGTGCAAGTACTGATGATATCCAATTTTAACTAATACTGGTACTGTAACTTTTGTTACAAAAATTTTACAGCTTTTTTTTCAAGTGGAGAAAAGACTTGGTATAATTAATCTGTGCAAGCTTATTTATGCTAGGAACCTCATATTTTAGTCTCTTGCATAGCTGGGATTATAGGACTGAAATATGTATTTTGTATAAATATTAATTGAGGATCTTTGAAAAAATATGAGTAAGATGATCTGGATTGGATAGTGGATAAAGAAAGATTCAATTGAAAAGATTATGAAATACATTGCCCTTTAATGGCTTCAATCTTGATTTATAATTCACATGAATTTATCAATATGTTTTTAGAAATGAACTACTGAATCATCAAATGTGATTGGAAATATGATGATTATGTATGAATGAAAACACATGTTTTCATTTCAAAGGTAATATTTG